TCAGTTGGTTAAGCGACTGCCTTCGGCTCAGGTCATGATCCTGGAGTCCCGGGATCGAGTCCCGCATCGGGCTCCCTGCTCGGCGGGGAGTCTGCTTCGTCCTCTGACCCTATCCCCTTTCATGTGTTCTCTCTCTCTCATTCTCTCTCTCTCAAATAAATAAATAAAATCTTAAAAAAAAAAAAAGTGTGAATTAGCACAGTATAAATTATTTATGGAGGCAATGAAGGAATATAGAGTAAGAAGTCTCTTATCACAGAGAGAACTTTAGGAAAGCTTCCAACAGAGGATGTCTTGAAAGAAAGATGTCATGAGCTATGTCTTCAAGGTAGGATATGGTTTGGGAATATAACCTCTATCTGTAGCCCCCAAACCCAAATAATCATATAGTCAAAGCAAAAACAGTGTGCTTCCTATGCAAACGTAGCCACAAAATAAGGTTGCCTCAGTCCCCCATGCCCAGCCAGCTGCCACCCCTAGGAACCTGCTACAGAGAAATTCTGGTGTCCCCACTGGTTGGTAGAGCTTTTCAGGGAAGAGGATAGAATCAGAACCGGTCCAGGGCAAAATGGAGAAATGAGCCCATACCTTCCAGGCACTATTTCCTGTGCACCTTCCCCCATGGGAAACCCAACATGCCACAGACACCACGGCCCTCTCCGACCTGCATCTCTTTATGCTCTGTGTCTTCTCTCCTATGACTGCCTTCCTTTCCAAGGGCCATGCCCCCCGAGTCTCCCCTGCTGTGCGCCTCTGTACCACTACAACTTGAGCTTGGGTTAATAGTTAACCCTTGGAAGTTTTACAGGTACAAAAAAATGGGACCTCTCTCATTCTAACGATGGGACATGACAGTGTACCAAGCAAGCTACCGGCGAAAGAGACATGCGGGAACAGGCAGATCTTGAGAGCTCCTCAGATCATGCTATGAGATTAACTGAAAAATCAAGCTGTGTGTAACTCCATTCTAAATCATTCAAGAGCTAGCCTAAAGAAGAGAGAAAACACCACATCACATGACTATATCAAAAACTGAGAACATCAAATGATCACATTAAGACCAGATCACAAAGACCTTGGAGGATGGACTCAGTAGTTGGTAATGGCTTGAGCATTAGGGACACTGTAGATCTTCATTATGTAATATGATAAATGTGGTGCTTTGGGAAGGTGTGTGTAAGAGAGTCTAGGGGAAGGAGAACTGACAACCTGTAGGCCTGGATTATGTGGGGACCTGCTGCAAGCTAACTTTCCAGATACCATAACTGATTCTGCACACACACTCTAGGCCAGAGTCTCTGAAATGAGATGTCACATGTGAGACTCATTCTCCAAGCTTTCAGAAAGAAACACTATAAAATCTGTCCCTTTTAAAACAAATGGAAGAAAGGATGTGGTCCTTTAAAGTTGAGGTTCAGTAATATGGGGCAGAGATGAATTTTTCTTTTTTTTTTTTAAGATTTATTTATTTGAGGGGGGAGGGGCAGAGAGCGAGGGAGAGAAAGTATCTCAAGTAGACTCCCTGCTGAGCTGGGAGCCTCAATCGAGGCTCAATCTCATGACCCTGAGATCATGACCTGAGCCGATGCTTAACCAACTGAGCCACCCGGCACCCTGGAATTTTTTTTTTATAATAAACCTCTATTAGTGAGTATGTTGCTACAAGAAACTTTTCCATTGTTGGCGAATAGTGTACTATCCACTTATTTAAAAAGAGTCAGTGGATGACAAGGTGAATGGAAGAATTTGAAAAGTTGTTCCATGACTTGTGATTCCAATAGCAAAATGAGGCTGATACTTTATCCATATGCCATCCTATCATTCAGATTCTATTTGGGCTTCGTAACATATTGACAGGGAAAAAAGATGGTCCATGGAAGTCAACCTGCCTAGGATGAAAGACATGGATGGGCTACCAGGTGTCACAGTGACAGGTGACAATCCATATCCTGCAAGTCAGAACTCAGCCCCTTTGCCTTTCAAGAATGCAAGATCGTGATATGAAAGCACAACTTCTGGGCTACGAAACCAAAAGGAAAAGGAATGAGGGTCTGAAGAGCAAGATACCACCTTTCCAGGAATCTCTGGCAGGGCAGTTAGTTGGGCCACCAACTTCAGCAGTTCACAGCTGGTCATACTTCAGGGGGGCTCTGAGCATTTCTTCTGAGTATCATATATTGCCTGGGACAGAACACAAGCTTTAAGCAAACTTTTTGGAGATTTAGCCACAACAGTCAAAATATTGAAACAAGGATACGTGGCTTTATACAATAACCTCACTCAACACATTTTTTTTTTTTTCAGATAACTCATGCCCAAGTTGAGGGAGGGGTAGAGGGGAGGTTTCTTTCCCTCTCCATCATTTCTCCGCTTGACTTTGCTGTGGGAAGTCAGCCTCAGCCTATTGGAAAGTAAGAGGTTTGTTTAACAAAGGCAAAGGGAGCAGCTATAAAACTACTCTATTTAGTTTCATTTCAAAATAAAGACATTATTTATTTATTTTTTAGAGAGGGAGGAGAGGGAGGAGGGCAGAGGGGAGGGAGAGAGACTCTTAAGGAGGCTCCATACCCAGTGCGGAGCCAGATGCGGGGCTAGATCTCACAACCCTGAGATCATGACCTGAGTCAAAATCAAGAGTTGGACGCTTAACTGACTGAGCCACCCAGGTACCCCTCAAAATAAAGACATTTTTACTATGCTTTTAACCCTATACATCCCAGGTTCTCAGCACTAGCTGTGTATCGGTGTTACCCAGGTATTCTTTTGTTTGAATAACAATGTTCGTGTGGGGCCTGAGCATTAGCATTTTTAAAAAGTCCTAATATCAGAACCTCTGGGAATGGAGCCCATGCAATGTAATTCTTAAAAGCGCTCTAGGTGATTCTAATATGCAGCTGAAGTTAAGAATAACTGCCACATAAAAAAGAAACTAGGGGTTGATTATAAGGATTTTAGTTTTGGAATACCTGTCTGGCCTCAAAGAATAATGTCTCAACAGAGGAAATTTTGACTTTGAGATTAAAGAATGAAAAAAGAAAGGAAGTATCTAGATGCAGAGAATCATCAGAGAGAGAGAGAGAGAGAGAGTGTGTGTGTATGTGTTCTGTACGTAGGGCATTGATATAACTTAGTGTTTATTAACTACCTTGGGGGCTGGAACATTTTTGCTAATCTGATGAAAGCTCTGTCTCAAAAAAAAATGTACATATATGAAAATTTTGCAGATTTTAGGAACATCACAGACTTCCTAAAACCAATGTTAAGGGCCTCTGGTATAGTCTTAAACTTTTATAAATAAGCAGGTAAAAAAAAAATCATCCATAAGAAATGAGAGACCTAAGTAGGAGTCTTGACTTTGTGCCTAAATGGCTTGTGAATCTAAATAAATTACCTAAGCTTGCTCCCCCACTCCCCAGCTTTTCCACCAAGTGAAATTTTTATCTACCCATAGGACAGTGTGGGTAATGTTTTTACAATTGTGTAAAAAAGGTCGAGAGTCAATGAATATATGTGAAAGTACTTCGAGAAGTTATGATTTATTATTAGAGATATCAAGAATTAATCCAAGGGGAAAAAAGAATTGATTTAAGAAGAAACATACAATTTCTTGAGTAACTGACATGTTTATCTAGCTCTCACTTTTATGGACATCTGCCTGTCAGAAGACCACAGATTATAAGGAATTTGGTAACTCTTGAGCTTTACACTTTGTATTAGAAGGATGAGTCCCAGCCCCAATTCCCTATATACTCAATCTCTCTCTCCTCGCAGTATGATGACGATCCTGCAGCATTCACTCATGGTGCTTTCTGTCAAACTGCTAGTAAATCCATTCTAACATGAAAAAATTCAGCATAAGTTAAAATACAAAGGAAAGATAGTAGTTCCAGAGGAAATGAAACCTATGAACCAAAATTCAGTCTTTTTCACAAGAGCCCGAGAGTATTTGTTTCTTTCCCCTCTACCTCCCACAAGACCCGAGGCCCTGGGGACTCCCACTGTCATGTTCCCTATCAGAGGACCACCACCTAGTAAGGCGACCTTCTTATTCCCCAAGGAGACACCTCAGAGGCACGTACCAACCCTTGATACTAAAGTGTGAAAATCTAGGATGGAGAATAAAGCGTATCTTTCACAGCCAGTGCTTCTGAGGGAAGGCCAGTCACCAGACCGGGGTCAGAGGTTAAGCAGAGGTACAGATGTGTACACAGTAAGCAGAGCTACCCTGAAAGGAAGACACCAGCTCCAGCCTTTGTGTGCCTGGGTGTCAATGTTTCCCATGCATTTCATTGTCTGAGTTGTAAGGAAAATGTGCATGGAGGGTCCAATACTGAGAGTGAATCTTCACTGCTATTCACCACTCCTCAGAAAAATATATTAAACAAAATGCAGAGTCACGTAGTTTAAGCTACTGTCTGTTTGTTCATAAAGGAAAATGCTTTATATGCAGAAATTTCAAGTGAGAGGAGATGTCAGGTCTCCAAAAGCAGCTATTATCAAACAAAGCAGCCAGAAAATTAATGCACTGCAGATGGCTGTGACCGCAGCCTTGGATATGAGCCAGCGTCTTCATCTCTCTTGGTAGGAGAGTGTTTTTGAACTGCTTCTTGTACCCACAAAGCTTCCCTAAATGTTCTAGTTCTCCGACATAAAATTCTTTCCCCTTTTTTACAGAGTATTGCTCTGTCTAGTTATTCTTTCCATAAACCCTTGCTGACCCCCTACTAAGAATGAGGCACTGAGAAAGAATGGTATACAACAGTAGTCAGGACATTTTTGTTAAACCTAAGAAGGAATGGACCATTTAAAGAACAACTCAGTTTGATTCTTCTCCTCCAAATCAAGGACCCACTTCCAGACAGCCTGCCTGTGCCTTCTTGCCATATCCATTTTAAAGTGGCTCTTTAGGGGCGCCCGGGTGGTTCAGTCAGTTAAGCGTCTGCCTTCAGCTCAGGTCATGATCCCGGGGTCCTGGGATCGAGTCCCGCATCGGGCTCCTTGCTCAGTGGGGAGCCTGCTTCTCCCTCTGCCTGCCGCTCCCCCTGCTTGTGCTCTCGCTCTCTCTCTCTCTCTGACAAATAAATAAATAAAATCTTAAAAATAAATAAATAAATAAAGTGGCTCTTTATCCCTGGCAGCTAAAAGAGGGAATCTCTACTTCAGTAAGATGGCCCCATCATCACTTTCTATCCCTGGCCACAGGAGTTGAGCCATTCTGGACAGGTGTGTGTGTGTGTGTGTGTGCATGTGTGTTCTCCCAAACAAGGACACTCATCTGATTTCCAAATGATTGAAGAATTTGGTGTTTTAAATAATACCTTATTCTGGTTGAGAATTGCCACTTACATAAATCACTGAGTTGCAAACAAATAGGGCAAAAGACTCTCAAGGTAGCGACTTCTTTCGCATTAAGAAAATGCACCCCCAAGAGTTTAATAACAAAATAATACACCTTTTTTCACACAGTTATTTTGTTTATGTGTTATCATGACTAATAGTAATGGCTGTAATTCATCACATTAGAAAAGTGATCAACAGTTCTAGCTGTACAGAATTAAAATTGATTGAGGCCCTTTGTCACCCTGGCAGAAGCTAATAATTACATCATTATTAAAATGTAGCCAATAGCCAAAACTTTTTAACTTCTTTGGTTTAAGACAAAATAGAATGAAATCAAGTTAATGTACTCAATTTGAATAATTCTGTGGAGAAGGCTACTCCCATGTTTATCTACCATTGGCAGAACAGCCCCTCTGGACTAAAGTGCTTTGCATATTTGATTAATTTTATCCTCCCCACATCCATGGAGGCATGCTGGTGCCCACATCATAGAAGAGACGGGAAACTGTGGGGATGAAGTAACCATCCCAGGAGCACAGAGCCAGGACCAAGACTCAAATCCAGGTCTGTCTCACTCCAAAGCTTCCATTCTAATCAGTGAGCAACTACACTGTCAAACAAAGACCTTCTAGATGAGCACGGGAAATACCTTTCACAGATACATGTTCAAACACTTGGAGAACAAAACATTCATCTTAGAAACCATTTCTTAACTTTTATGATCAAGACTTTTCTGAAGGTGAAACAAAACTGGTGTGTATCCAGAGTCTCAGAGGATGTTCCTTCCGGAGCCATAGTTCTCCCATCCGTTCCTGGCCCACAGAATGTTACCAGCAACAGGCCAGAGGCAGAGAGGAATAAAGGAAATGAAGAGTCATTAACCACACTAAGTGTCCTTAAGACAGGCTCTGGTGTCATTTATCTCCACCTTCCAAGAATACTGGGAAGGCCTAGCATGGACAAGTGACAAATACTGTCAATTAAGTCTGTGAGGATAATGGCAAATGTCACTGAGAAAGATTTGAGTTAAACATTACATTAACTCAAGCTCATGTTCCCCTCCTTGCAAGGATGGTCAGTGTGAGGTGGTATGAGTGTAGGACAGTCAGGTCCATGGTTGGATGGAGCTGAACTCTGTCCTGAGTATTGCACAAATTAGATTACAGAGCCTCAAAGGAAGTTCTTCCAGATGTTTAACAAGACTCAAGCAAGCAGTAGTTCCCAACTCTGGACTGAACCTGTGTTCTTGGCTAGCTTGACCTCTGAAGGGTGGTCAGAAGCAGTGTGCAGGACACTCCGTGTTACATAGTTCTGAGGGAGGGATTAGAAAGAAACTTCACTCTGTCTTTCTCCCAGGGTGCCCTTGTGGTATCTACCCTTTCACAAAAGAAGCAATCTTAAACTAAGTTATAGAAAGTAGTTATTTGATTCGTGTTTCCTCTCCTTCCTCATCTCCCTGATTTTTCCTTTAGGGCATCACATGATTGCCAGGAGAGGAAGACACTCCCACTCCCCCCAAAACTGCACCATGGTAGCAAGTGGCCAGTTTCATCTCCCTTAAATAAGGTCCTACCTACATCAGGGGGGATAAGTTAGCACGATTAGAGGCCAAGTGTTCCTTTTACTCACTTCGTTCCCTCCTCCGCCTAACCCATGTCCCTACGGAAGCTGTATGGGTTGTCCAAATTTCAGTGATGGAACAACCATGGGCTCACGTTTTCATGTCTTCTCTCCTCTTGTACCTAACTCTTGTATTTGTCACTAAAAGAAAAGTTTGTATCTGCTTATTATTTGTATTCCACCCTTATGACTATCCTACTACTAAAAATATATAATGATTTTTATGGAACAATTGGAAATCGGAACACTGATTCTATATAATATTAAAGAAATATTAAATTTCTATTTAGGAGTAGGAATGATATTGTGATAATTAATATTAGGTTTTTAAAGAATGTGTAGCTTTTTATATCTACATAAGAAAATATGTACAGATTGGATAATATGATGTCTGGGATTTGTTTCAAAATAACATGGGAGAGATTGTAGCAGGTGGGGATATGGGTGAAACAAGATTATCCTTGAGTTCATTATTGTTGAAGCTGGGTGATGGGTTCATTGTGCTAGGTTTGTTTTGGTTTTTCAGTGGTTTTTTCCTGCATATGTTAGAACTTTTTAATACCAAAAAGCTTCTTTTAAAAAAGAATCAAAGGGCACCTGGGTGGCTCAGTCGATTAAGCGGCTGCCTTTGGCTCAGATCATGATCCCAGGGTCCTGGGATCCAGCATCCTCTGTCATCGGGTTCCCTGCTCAGCGGGGAGCCTGCTTCTCCCTCTGTCTGCTGCTTCCCCTGCTTGTGCTTGCTCTCCCACCCGTGTCAAATAAATAAATAAAATCTTAAAAAAATAAATATATATAAAAAAGAATCAAAATTAAAGTTAAAAAATAAAAAATATATAATTGGTGAGTTACTTTAAATTCACACTAGAAAATCATATTTTCTAAAAATACCTTAAAATATGTGCAATTTTCTCTTAACTATAGAGGGTTGATGGAAGGAGGTGGATGGACTAGATAGGTAATGGCCATTAAGGAGGGCACTTGTTATGATGAGCACTGGGTGTTGTATGTAAGTGATGAATCAATGAATTCTACTCCTGAAACCAATATTACACTGTATGTTAGCTAACTAGAATTTAAATTACAATTTAAAACAAAATTAAATTAAATCTATGCAACTTTCATGATTGAATGTTTAATGGAATAGGAAGATCTAAATCTGCACAAAGAATACTGCATATACATATATATTTACATATGCATGTAAATGGAAGAAGAAACTACATAAAATGTAAATTAGAATTTCCCCTGGCTGGCAAGAATATATACTAGTATTCTTTATTCATTGTTACTTTTTTCTATTTTTCAAATTTTCTGAAAAGAAAATATGTTTACAATTTTATGAAGGTATTTTTATAAACTATACTCATGATAAAATGTTAGGAGACAAATAGTTATAAACTGTATATGAAATTCAATTATAAAATGTATATGAATGCTGTGTATGTGTGTTTATCTAAAATAAATAGCATCACATTGTTAATGGTGATGATCTCTGGATGGTAGCATCATTGGTCATTTCTATTTTTGTGTGACTCTGTATTTTCTTCAATTAATAAGTGTAATGTTGTGGGGCGCCTGGGTGGCTCAGTTGGTTAAGCGACTGCCTTCGGCTCAGGTCATGATCCTGGAGTCCCAGGATCGAGTCCCGCATCGGGCTCCCTGCTGTCCACAGGGAGTCTGCTTCTCCCTCTGACCCTCCCCCCTCTCATGTACTCGCTCTCTCTCATTCTCTCTCTCTCAAATAAATAAATAAAATCTTTAAAAAAAAAAATAAGTGTAATGTTGTAATCAGAAAAAAATACAGCATGAAGGGGCACCTGGGTGGCTCAGTCCGTTAAGCGTCTGCCTTTGGCTCAGGTCATCATCTCAAGGTCCTGGGATCGAGCCCTACATCGGGTCCCTCTCCCTCTGCCTCTCCCCAAGCTTGTGCTCTCTCTCACTATCTCTATCACTATCTGTCTCTCTCTTTCAAATAAATAAATAAAATCTTTAAAAAATACAGCATGAAAAATTAAAACTAGATTTATTATACTTTTTTTTTAAAGATTTATTTATTTACTTTAGAGAGAGACAGGGTGCATGAGCAGGGGTGAGGGGCAACGGGAGAGGGAGAGAGAGAGGGAAAGAAGCAAACTCCCTATTGAGGGTGGAGCCGGACAGGGGGCTTAATCTCACAACCCTGAGATCATGACCTGAGCTGAAACCAAGATTTGGACGCTTAACCAACTGAGCCACCCAGGTGCCCCCTGTAATTCTTTATAAGTAAAGGACTATCTCTATAGGGCAATATAACATACAAGGATAAGAAATGATGTATTATATATAGCTAATATATATTATATTCATATGCATATTACAACTATATATAACTAATACGTCACTATGTGTAACTATATAACTATATATTAAATTTATACAATAACCACATAATATCTGTCAGTCCAAGAGAATTTTAAATTCTCACTGTGAGTATATATTGAGCTTTTAAACAATGTTGATATAGAACTCTTTGCACAGCCACCATTACTTAGCAATGCTCCTCATGTAGACAATTCCTTAACAGTCATGTGCCATTTTCTGTCCAACTCCAGGTATATCTATGCCAATACCAGTCTTCGGCCTACAGGATGATTCCAAGGTCTTTAAGGAAGGGAGTTGCTTACTTGCGGACGATAACTTTGTCCTGATAGGCTCTTTCGTGTCATTCTTCATTCCCTTAACCATCATGGTGATCACCTACTTTCTAACTATCAAGTCACTCCAGAAAGAAGCTACTTTGTGTGTGAGTGATCTTGGCACACGGGCCAAACTATCGTCTTTCAGCTTCCTCCCTCAGAGTTCCCTGTCTTCGGAAAAGCTCTTCCAACGATCGATCCACAGGGAGCCAGGGTCCTATGGCAGGAGGACTATGCAGTCCATCAGCAACGAGCAAAAAGCTTGCAAGGTGCTGGGCATTGTCTTCTTTCTGTTCGTGGTGATGTGGTGCCCATTCTTCATCACGAACATAATGGCCGTCATCTGCAAAGAGTCCTGCAATGAGGATATCATCGGAGCCCTGCTCAACGTGTTCGTTTGGATCGGTTACCTCTCCTCAGCAGTCAACCCACTGGTATACACACTGTTCAACAAGACCTACAGGTCAGCCTTTTCCCGGTATATTCAGTGTCAGTACAAGGAAAATAAAAAACCACTGCAGTTAATTTTAGTGAACACTATACCAGCCTTGGCCTACAAATCTAGTCAACTCCAAATGGGACAAAAGAAGAATTCAAAGAAAGATGCCAAGAGCACAGATAATGACTACAGTATGGTTGCTCTAGGAAAACAACACTCAGAAGATGCTCCCACAGACAATATTAACACAGTGAATGAAAAGGTTAGCTGTGTGTGATAGACTAGTTGCCATAGCAACCACAGGGGGCACACTTGGCAAATTTTCACCTATTCTGGGGAAAGAAAAGAAAACAGGGAGACTGGAAAAAAAATTAGGCCAGTCTAGTAGAACCAACAATAATATTTATATGCCTCATTTTATTCCGTCAATGAAAAAAAAAAAAGCAGGGTTAAATGATACAAAATGTGCACTTCAAAAATGTTCTGACAGCATTTCAGCTGTGAGCTTTATGATATTTTTGACATTGTAAATGATATGTCTTTAAAATAATTAGCTTTTATTGTATAATTATAATGAGGCCATAAATAAGTCTAAATTACCTTCTATTTCAAGTGGAAACGTTGCTACTCTGTTAATTGATGGCATGAGTTGGTTACCTGTTGCTGTAAATAACAATAGCTATAAATAGTGAAAATTGGTTGAATATAATATAATGACCTCTTAAAGAAAGATCTTTAAAACTTACTATGCTACATATTTCGAACAACAAAAAAAGACACTAAGGACAGTGTTATGAAATCTGTATTGCTAAGATAATTAAATGAAATACTTGATGACTTTTTCATTCCTGCTTTTTCATAGATGTCATTTGGAAATATTCACAAAGTTGCTGGCATTTGCTGCATTTCAAGCTAATTCTTCTCAGAAGTGAAAAAGTTTTAAAATGTTATTTAATAACTACTGCTGCTTTCTCTTCTACTCTTTGTGCTTTATTCTGAATCTCCAATGTGGTCTTGTTTAGTGTTTGTTCTACTAGGTAAACTATCAAAAGGATAAATTTAACATTACCAAATACGTTTCTAGAAACTGCTTCTCCTCAACAGCACCATAGCAGTGTTTGGTAACTCGCTCTTTGATGACTGCACCGTGCATGCACGCCTTTGAGCAGTAAGCAGTATTGATGTAACTGTGTCAAGATTGAGGAATAAACTCGGGTTTTTGGCTACTGACAGCAGAAGCTTAGGACGTCTCTGTAAAATGCAGGTGGCTTTCCTATTGGCACCCATTAGGTAAACTGATGCTTTCAGATCAGTCTATATTCTTTACTAAAACTGTTCAGCTTTGGTCTCATGATCATCTACTGGGTGTATACTGTCTGTGAAGAAACGTCCTAGGTACTAAAGATATAAAAATAATTAAAACAAGATCCCTGCCTTTAAAGAAAATGACCTAATTGGAATGGTCCTCGTCAAAAATACCAATTAACAGGCATTTTGAGAATTGGTTCAAGCTGTTTTCTTCTTACCTGGGTCAGAAAAAGGCTTGTTTTTTTTTTTTTAAGATTTTATTTATTTATTTGACAGAGAGAGAGACAGCGAGAGCAGGAACACAAGCAGGGGGAGTGGGAGAGGGAGAAGCAGGCTTCCCGCTGAGCAGGAAGCCCAATGTGGGACTCGATCCCAGGACTCTGGGATCATGACCTGAGCTGAAGGCAGACGCTTAACGACTGAGTCACCCAGGCGCCCGAAAAAGGCTTGTTTTGACTCTGAGGGTAGTTTTCTCAATAAGTTTCCCAATTGGTTGCCAAGGAATACCCACCAAATGAGCGAGGGGGGAATACTACAGGAGGTCAAAATTTGAAAGTAGTTTAGAAATTCACACCTCGACATGGACCCAACCTATCACAATTTATCACTAAAGTTTCAAGAAAATTTTGTTTTACTTCCCCAAAAATCTAATTTATTTGTTATTCACTGACACTGGACTCCCTAATAAAAAAGAGCAGTAATAGAGTGTTTTGTAGAAAAGTTTGCTAAAGAGAGAAAGAGATTAACAGCAGTTAATTCACCTTGATATTACTCTAGATTAAATTATACATCCTTACTAAAATAGATGTTAGATGATATGTGGTTACAATACTGAAGTATTTCTATTAAATGAAAAATAGTTTTTTGCTCTAAGCCATTTGAGAAAATATTACAGATTTGAAAACTAAAGGATGTGGGAGATGCCACTGTGGAATTTGGAAACACTTTAAGGCTATCCAATTATATCCTTATAGATACATTGAAAGGTATGTTTTTCAAAGCTAGAATTTACAGTAAACCACTTATATCAATGCTGTGTTTGACCTGAACCACTTTAATAATACCATACTAACTTATAAAAATACAAATGTTAAAAAATCTCTGCTCTAATGTATTTTGCCATATCTTATAACTCTGCACATCTCATAAAATATTAGAGAAAAGATTAGATTCTACCCCCATATACTCAATCCTGATCAGGATGAACATAAATACTGCCTGACAGATGTCTTTTGACTACATATATATTACAAATGTGTATGTTTTTTCTTTCCGTAAGTATCTACTCAAATGTACATAGACAAACATGTATCTGTGTATATGTACAGACATGTTCTCATGCACTTTATTCGATATTTATATATTTATATGGAGAAAAAGCAAGAGTCACTAATGAAAACACTCAGTATATACACATGTTTGCATGTTTGTATCCTGTCAATTAAAATGTGAATTCATGTTCTAAAGTTTCTAAGACCTTCCATTGCTGTCAAAGCAGATTAAAATGTAACAGAAGTATCAGCTCTTTAAATAAACTGGAAGTTCGCCTAATTTTGTGGGAAGACTAACACAATTCTACGAGGGTGGTGAAAACAATGGTCCTTTATATAGCTGAGTGATCTTAAATAAAATGGTACCTTTGGACCCTTTTTCAGTCTGGGGAGTTTCTGACTACTAAGGCTTTTAAAACACCCCCACCCCGCCCCAGTGAGACACAGTGCTTGAATGATTTATCGATCTATGATTAAAAGACTCACTTCTAATCAATATTTTAAGTTGAACAGTAGATTCTTCTATATTTAAAGAAAGGAACTAAATGCCATATAGGTAGGGGAAACACACAGTTTAGACATACTTAACCTACTTGGCCACAGCGCCATCTCATGGTCATTTTTTAAAGTGCTACCGTGGCCAAATTGAACTAAGTTACTGTAGTGCTTTTGGCAAAGGGTGCTTCTCCCATTTGTGCATCAACGAAACATATTTATAAAGTGTTAAATCATTCTGTGCAATATATAATAAATACAGTGAAGGTTATTTTGTGTAGTGATTTTAATCAAGGTGATTCTAAAAGATTTCAAGAAAGAATGAATAATTATAAATAAAGTATACTCAAAAATCAATGTAATTTTGTGAGTCCATAGTTTTGTCTACTAAAGGGAATTACCCAAACCTTCCAGTCATCAAACTAGGAACTCTATGGATCATCCAGATATTTTGAGAGCACAAAGTCTGTGCTTCTGAGGTCCAGTGACTGGACCAGGATCTACGTGGTGGAGTTAGATTTATGATTGGGATCCAGGTTGCAGTTATCTGCAGCAGACAGATGCTCCACGGTCAGTCACTGTATCTGGTTCGGCACAGCCTAGAAACGTAGAGAACCACTGCTGTAGCCCCAGGGCATGCTGGGTACTGATGGTTATGTGTATACAGGTGTACCCCCAAGACATGCACAGGAGCTCATTTCAGGAATTGAAGTAAACCCAGAAAACATGGTATCATTGAATAAACTGGAAAGTTGCCCTGGCTCTTCTTTTTTTTTTTTTTTTAAAGATTTTATTTATTTATTTGACATGGGGGCGGGGAGGGGAGAGAGAGAGAGAGAGAGAGAGCACAAGCAGGGGGAGTGGCAGCCGGAGGGAGAGGGAGAAGCAGGCTCCCTGCTGAGCAAGGAGCCCCATGCAGGACTTGATCCCAGGACCCTGGGATCATGACCTGAGCTGAAGGCAGACGTTTAACCGACTGAGCCACCCAGGCTCCCTGCCCTGGCTCTTCATTTCACCTCTAAATGTAGGAAAAGTTTATGAAATAGGGACAGTAGGTATCTTTTCCAGGCGTTTATAGCTCCGTGTATTGAGTACCTACCATGTGCCAGGAATTAAGCTGGCTGCTTTGCTTGCTTTACCTAATGGAATCTTCACAACAATCCTATAAGGTAGGTATTGCTATGTCTTATTTTTCATACATAAAGAAACAGAGATTCAGAACAGTTAGTAATATGTCCAAGGTCACACAGCTGAAAAAAAAAAAAAGTGGCAAGTTCAAGGCTGGGTCATCTGACTCTGAAGCATAAATTCTTGTCCCTGCCCAATGTGGCATGGGGAAAAAAAACACAGAATTCAGAACCAAAAGATGCAAGTTCCCATCTCAGCTTCCCTACACCCTGGTTATATAACCTTGAACAAATCACTTAATAACCCCGGGCCTCAATTTCACTGTCTCTAAAAATGGTACCACTAGTGCCTGTCCTGGCTAACTGACAGCGTCACCTAAATGAGGTCATGGGCATTAGGAGGACACATGCTATGATGAGCACTGGGTGTTATACATAACTAATGAATCACTGAACACTACATCAAAAACTAATGATGTACTATACAGTGGCTAACTGAACATAATAAAAAAATAAATTTAAAAAGGTGAAAAAAAATGGGGTCATGACTATGGCCCTGCTTGATAACCTGTAAAGCACTATGTAAATGTAATAACTGTGTTGTTATTGAAAGAAAAAACCCAGAGCCAGTATACATTATTAGCCATCAGAGCAAATTCGAGACAAAATTGTGGGACAGTCAATATTATTATTCAACAGTTTCTACTATCCTTTCTGTGAACATTCTCATTTTTAAAGACATTTTACTTCAGCTTTGTCCACACCATGATGCAGAGTTCCCTTCGCTGGTATTTTTTCCTGCTTACATCAAAACTTACCCATTCTGTGACCTATCCTGTCAGGTTTCTCCTCTCTGCTAGAGCACTAATAATTCAAGTTGACAAACTACTGTCTAGTTTGTCACTGAGGTCCCTTTAGCTGTCCACCATGATCATAATCCAAAAGTTAAAAACTTTAATGCCAGGAAGACCAGTGAGAAAGAAATTTAGGGACAAGAAATATTCTCCTGGCATCCCTCAAATGACCCACAGAAAAACAAGTACCTTCAGAAACTTCATAATGTATATAAAGCTTTATAATTTAACCTTAAATTTCAATCCACAATCATAATGGTGATTTTGAAGAAAACATCTGTGATTTTTAAGATTTCATTCTAAACTGAAAACACTAATAATATTAGTAGGCTTATCGCAAGTTTTATACTCAATGGACATCTGCCCCAGTAAATATGCAATACGACAAAACTTTGTTAATTTTTATTATTTTTGCAGGTGGTTTGCAAAAAAAAAAAAATGGTTTCCTTATTTTCCCTTAATGCTATACACCCCAGTCTTCTTCCTGTTTGATATTTAACGACAGTATGTCCACCTGAGTCAACACATTATGGCAAGTTTTCACACCCAACTGGAGCCTCAGGATTTGGTGTGACCTCACTACCACAGAAGACTGAGGCAGGACACCTAGGTCCGGTCTGCTACTACCGTCTGACCCTGGACAAGTCAAAGCCTTTTTTCTTCAAAATGTCTCTTCTGGGTCTATGCTTATCTCGATGCTAGGGAGTCCAGTCAAGTGTCTGATGAACCAAGACACGGCTTCATGAACAAAGAATATTTTGGAACAATTCTCACATTTTCTTAAACTCTTCAGATGCATTGCAAATAAATGACAGCTATAATTTTTATATGGAAATCTTAGAAGAAAAATCAAATTGTTATGGATCCAAGGAGTTTCTAATATAGGAGACCAAGCATCAGATATCAACACAAATGATTTCTACTTTTGCATTTTTCTCGCCATCAGCCTCATTTTTGTACATTTTCTAGCTGGTACAAGATATCAGGTTGTTCTTTTTAACAGCCCCAGGTTCCCTAAAGAACAAGTGCTCTCACTATTCAAGTTCAATTTCCTTGAAGGGTTAAAATTTAAAAGCTCAAAAAGATTGAGATATCATGGTGCAGCAAGGATCTCCTTTATTTAAAGCTAGATTTTTGTTGAAGTGAGCAAAGGTCATTTAAGTTTTTATTTATAGTTAAGATTACAACATCTTTTTTTTTTTTTTTAAAGATTTTATTTATTTATTTGAGACAGAGAGAATGAGAGGGAGGAGGGTCAGAGGGAGAAGCAGACTCCCCGCTGAGCAGGGAGCCTGATGTGGGACTCGATCCCGGGACTCCAGGATCATGACCCGAGCCGAAGGCAGTCGCTTAACCAACTGAGCCACCCAGGCGCCCCATAAGATTACAACATCTTTAAAGGTGTTTATTCTGGCTTCTAGAGAACAGCACAAAATGTACATCCTACATTTATTTCAGATATTGAAAGGTAGTAATATGCCATTATTCAGATGATCTTGTCTTAGTTGGGGTGACCCCAAGTACAGAGCCAAGACAAGAACTTGAGT